TTCCCAAAATTAGGAGTACCATTTTAGGGGTCCCCAGAATGAGGACTATAGTATTTGGGGGTCTATATTGGGGTCCCCTTATTTTGGGAAACTACAATCTTTCTCAATATGTTTTACATCCCCGTGTATATATATATATATCAAGGTTTACGTTTTCATATACATGCAGTGGACCGTGAAAACCAAAAACACCTGATACCCTGGGAGCTATGGCACTTTAGTATAGCAAGGTCATGCAGGATTTTCGGCATCAACAGTATGTATGTGTGTACATGTAGCTGCGTTAGCAGAGGTTACACGGATGCTGTAGGAATTATGATCATGCAGGCCCATCTTGGTGCGGACGAGGCCTCCACAATAGATATACATGTTTGGCTGCCAGTACATGTCCGGATAGCGGCAGGGACCTTGAGTCTGCACATTTCTACTGTACAGTTCCCAGGTTCTATTCTATTTTGGGGGTTGCCACTTCACCCTGGACCCACGGCATGCTTTGGGGTTTAGGGTTTCGGGTCATGAGTCTTTTGCCCAATAAGCGCCTGTTGCATCCCTTATACAACAACTTAGGACGTCTGAGCAAAGCGTTGCTGGTTAGATGCATTGGGCCTTTGATCTAAGAACTCTATAGACCCGGAGCTCTCTGGGTCTTCCTCAAGCAGTATATTGCCTGATGACCCAATCATACCCCCATGAGTACATAAGCACCTTGATGGGGTTGCAGATGTAGACCGTAACAATTAACTCTAAACCCTAATCCCTGGTTGTTATGACCATGAACCTCTCAGAGGGCTTCGTAGACCCACCAAGCCACCTGGACGTACAGGTCATACTAAGCCTCATGCGGGGGTTTCCCAAAATGTATGTGTATCTTTTCAAATTTGAGGGAAGTCCCAAGAAGAAAGATGAAAGCATTTTGGGGGTCTATATTGGAGCCCCCCGATTCAGAGAAACTGCTATGTACCTTTTTTTTATTCTTCTTGGCAATCGGGGCTCACATGTGCAAGAGTGCGGTTTTCCAAGATGACGGTTGAAGTGCGCGTAGGGGAGTTGAATAATATCATGGCTTGCCTGTGTTCATATATGAACTCATGAACCGCACGCACATCCTAAGCTTATATTCACGGAGGACAGTAGCGGCCTCAGGGCCCAGCGCCCCAAATGATGTGGCTTTAGGTCTCTAATGGTGTAATCCGAGCAGTTTTGCTTACCTAAAACCCGGACATTTGGGTACCCGAACCCTCAGGGATAGTGGTTTAGTTGACGTCATGAGAATCTGTTGCAGTTGTGCGTCGAATCGACGTGGATTTGCCACAAAGTTGGCGCCAGTTTGGCTTAGAGTCTTCATGGGTCCCCTGCAAGTTTAGGGCTCGGGGCGTCTTGGTCTATACTTACTGGTTCTTAGTAAAGAACATGGGAATGTTTTCTAGAGGGATCATCAAGGTATTCCCTTATTCACATAGAACCAGCAAGTTTAAGGTTCTTGAGGACTTCACAGAAGGTTTCAAGAGGTTTTCGCACCCATCCATTTCAAATCGTTGATATGTTTCCGCAGAAGACTCTGACACCTACACCCTGATTGCAAACCCGGAGAGAACCCAAATCCCACATTCCTAAGCTAGCATGCCTAAGCCCCTATGCACCAAACTCCCGATGCAGTTCCATATCCTGGAAGCTTACTTGCTCATAGCGTTCGCTAATGCTCCTTCTATACAGCCATAGTACAACTGGCCCCAAAGCCCTATTCAAATATTTTAGGCTGTTACAGAACTCAAAGCCGCAAACTTGAACCCTGAGTCAGATTTAGCCCCGAACCCTCATCCCTACACTTGTAAGCTCCAAACACTAGACCCTAGGGTTTAGGGTTTACCCCAAACCCTAACTCCTAAAACCCCTCAACCCTGCTCTAAATAGTCGTTTCCATTTTCTTTTCCATTATCCCATTATAACCCCCCAAGGGCTGACGCAAAACCCTAGTTCCTCAGTGGTTTGGCTTGGCGGGTGGACCCATGACAACGGGTGTGGAGCAGCGGCGGGAAGAAGGGAGGGCTTAGAGGCAGACGCAATACGTCTTTAACGTAAGCGCATACATACTTGCCAATATTATGGTCTCCAAGAATATAAGGCAGATACCAGTTTCAGGGTTTAGGGTATAGCGACGAATTGCCTACTTACAGTATATGGTACCTCCAATGAACCTGAAACAGCATGGGTAGTTATTCTTCATGCATGTACAGCTTGTAGTGCGAGTCTAAGTAGGTTAAAGGCGCAGCTCAAAGTGCTTGCTAAGTCGCATGAAGCTCTAAGTAAAGGGTTTCAGTGCTTCAAGCATAGGGCTTGGGAGCTCCATTTCGGTCGGTAAGTTGCACATAGTTTTCGGGAAGCCCTGTATTGTCTTCTTGGTGTTTCGGGCTTGGAGGCCAGGGTTTAAAGACTTCTTAGTGCGAAGCTGCAGGTTAGGGATCTACATGTGGGAGAGGTTTGGGACCTCGGCGTCGTCACGGGAACCCTATAAAGCTTAAACCCCGAACCCTAGAACCCTGAAGCCCTATACCTCTAACCCTAGAACCCTAAAACCCTAAACCCCTAACCCTAAAACCCTAAACCCCTAACCTAAAAGCCTAAAGTCCTACACCCCAAACCACCTCTAAGGTCCTAAAAATGGTTCATATCAGCCACACCTTCCCCTAAACCCTAGCTCCTCAACCGCCTAAACCCTCAACTTTCGGCCCTGCGCCTACTGTCTTAGTGGATGAAGGGCTTAAGAGTTTGGGGGTTTGGGATTAAGAGATTAGGCCCTAAAGCCTGAACCCTAGAACCTACCCAACACCTCCAATGTAGTTCCTTTTTGGGTTTGTTATGGTTTTTGGGTAAGGGATTATAATATACTACCCCAAAAGGAACTACATAGGAGGGTCTGGGTAAACCCTAAACCCTTCCCTCCTTTCTTGGCCGCTCATCTTTTGGCATAGCCGTTTCGGCGGTGACCGGTCACAAGAAGTGCCGTGCACAAATATGTCGCGTGGAGTGGCAGTATAGGAGCTGTATAGGCAGAGTTTAGGGTTTAGGATTAGGTCATGGTTGAAAGCAATTTGGGTTTTTGATTCTACTGAATCCCAGTAGAATGTCAGTTTGGGGTTTTGGCAGTACACCAAACAAGAACCGGCAACGTGCCAGGTGTATGTACAGAGGTAAAGAGAGTACATGGGCGTATGTCATGACCAGACCCTAAACCCTAAACCCTAAACCCGGACTGATTTATCTGGGGTTTAGGATTTAGGGGTTCGGATTTAGGTTTTAGGGTGCAGGGTTGGTAAGGCTTTGGAACCTTAAACCCTATGAACCGGAAGGTCCTCTCCATGGGCCCGTTGGAACCCTACCTGGTTCCGGGGTGCCGGCTATCGGTCCTAAATTGGGTTTGTAGGGTTGTAGACTGTATATGGCAGGTATATAAACACCCCAGGAATAAAGGCCTATACTAAGACGCACAAACCCTAAACCCTAAAGCCCTAAAGCCCTAAACCCTAAACCCCCAAACCCAAAGCCAATTCAGAGCCCAACCTTAGAGAGTGGGATTATCCGCAGGGTCTTTGGTCTGACCTGTGGCATTTGGATACACCAAAAAAGCTTAAAAGTCCTAAACAACCTTTTCAACGCGGGTTCAGGGTTTAGGGTTTTAGGATTTAGGGCTCAGGGTTTAGGGTTTATGGTCTAGGAACGGCCTACTATATTCTCTTTTTTTTCGGGTTTTAGATTGAGGACTCAGGCTGGGGCATTTGCTTCAGGAGTTGGCCTTGCCAACTTCTTGAGCTGCAGGGCTCCACTTCAGTAGATGTTTTAGGGTTAGTTTGTAGGATGTAGTATTTGGGGTTTAGGGTTCAGTTTTTAGGGTTTAGGGTGGTTCGGGCCCTTCCCCCAAACTGGCTGGGATGTTTTGATCTTGGAACTTCTCATGTTGGGGTGGCTTCCTGTTTTCACGAAGCACGAAGGGACTTCATATAAGCGGCCCATACTGGGAGACATTGCACTTGGCAGGCTGAGCCCCAAAACTTTGAATCCTAAATCGAAAGCCAGGCCCCTAGCAGCGAGCCAAGGAAATCGAGGGTCAGCCTAAAGCCTAAGCACTAAACCCTAGCTTCCACCAAAGTAGTGTAGCTAAGAAATTTCTGTGCCCATCACCAAACCATTGGACTTGTGGGATAGAATGGGAATCTCTCAAACCTTTCGACCGGCGACCTCCTAGACCCTAAACCCTAAACCCTAAACCCTTTAAACTTGAAAACCCCAGACTGCAAGCCCCAAACCCTATAAAACCTAAACCCTCAAACTGCAATTCCCAAACCCTAAAACTCTAAGTCCTAAACCCTGACAAGCCCCCCAAACTTTGGTCCTAACCAATCAATCCCTAAAGATTCACCCGGTCCATTCGGTACCCCATTTCGAGCAATTCCTGTCCTAGCTTTCAAGTTGGTATGGGTTTGGGGTTTAGGTGGTTACTTGGAGGGTCAGAGGGACTTAGTAAGTAGGTTAATAACCCCCATAAGCCGTATCGTAACCTCAATTATCCCCATTAGTAACCTAGTCATCAAGTCCCGCTGACCTTCCAAGTAGAGGCTTAATGCTGAGGGCTTGGGGTAGGGAGTTTGAGTTTTCGGGGTTGATACTTCAGGGTTTAGGGGTCTGGGCTTACGTAATGGTTGAGGTTATAGAGGCTAAGGGCTGAGTGTTTGGGGTTTAGGGGTCTAGGGTTGGGATCTTTGGGTTTGGGGGTTTGTGGTTCAGGGGTTAGGGTGTGCTTTAAGGGACGGACGTCGGGTCGAGAGTTTGGGGTTTAGGGTTTAGGGTTTTGGGGTCAGCGGCTTAGGTTCAGGGGTTACCTGGACCCCAAAAGTATGTAAAATAATGGCCTTTAGGGCTGTTATTATGGGTTTAGGGCTACTATTTTACATACTTTTAGGGTTTAGGTAGTGGTTAAGGGTCAGGCGTGCTGCCCGCATAGCCAGGTCGGTAGGCACCTACTGCACGAAGAACCTGCCGGAATCCCAAGATGGCAGGGTTTGGGCATTTTTCTGCGGGTGTACCGGTGTACCGTTTACAGGCGGATCCCTCTAAACCTTATAGAATCCGAGTCTCCATGTAATTGTCTGGTTGCTTCCCACGTGATTCTCCATTGTCTGTAGTTGTTCAGGCATTAAAGAGGGGAAGCAACCCTAGATGGAGTTGAAACCCTACCGGGCTGACCTACACCCGAGCCCCGAAGCCTTGTGCGTTAAACCGGAGGCCTGAACTCGAGGCAGTAGGTCCCAGAAATCTAGAAGGTCTTAGGGTTCTAGGGGTCTAGAAGGCCTTAAGCAACTTGGGAGGCTCAGAAGGAAAATCCTAAGACACAGGTGGACCAAAGTGGTCCTCTAGGCTTTATGGCTCACAGCTCGCTGAAATACCTCGCTCTTCAACATTAGGCATTAGGCATGAATGATTACAATTTTTGAGGCCACAATTACCAAACATGAAGCAGCTAAGCTTCAGGCGCATGCTGTGCACCCCTACAGAAGCTTGCTGCATCCAGTTACAAAATCAGTTCGCTCACCTTCAAAACGGGGTTCTCGTGCGAATTCTGCGCATTTTTTGTGGCGTTTACTTACATACCAGCTATTCAAAATGTCAGCTACATACTCATTCTGAATGCGCTCAAGCTCTGACAAATATCCCTAAGGCCCACGCAGCATTTCCTTTGTCTGTCTAAGGTAGGAGCTACGGGCCCCCAGTATGGGCTATTTTTATTCCCCGGTCCTAAAATGTCGTATAAGCCCCTGCAAGACCAATTAAGGGTCAATATTGAGCACCCGGGAAACATGTAGGGGTCATCTCAGGGCAACCCTAAACCCCTTAACCCTAAGTGCATCGTTAGGACCTTTGAATCTGAGAATCGCAAAATCGCCGACTTGCCTGGAGCGAGAATCCTTTCTTGTCTCCGTTGCGTAGCACGGTCTATGGTTGAAATTCCTCACCCACCATATGCGCCTCATACATCAGGACTTGCAGTGTTTTGGTCCCAAGCCTCACAATCGTCATTCGGAACCCGAAACCCGGAAACCACCAAACCCTACCCACCCTTAATCCCAAGCACCCCGAACCCTAAACTAAACGCCCTGAACCCTAAACTCTAAACCCATAAGCCCCAAACTCTGAACCACCAAACCCTAACCACCGAAACCCTAAACTCTAAACCTTGAGGCTTAAACCCTGAAAACCCCAAGCCCTAAACCCCTAAGCCCTGAACCCTTAGCACCTTTAATCCCTATACACTTGCAATCCTAAACCAGGGGGACTAGACCCTCAGCCTAAACCACTACACCTAAGCCCCTGGACCCTAAACCCTGTCGAGGCCAGAGAACCGGATCTGGAAGGCAACGGGCCACCCTTCCCTATATGTACTATAGTCTAAACTCCTTAAAGGGTGGTTATACAGGGGGTTATATGGGGGACTACTACAGGGCTTATTAAGGGGGATACTAGGAGTTTTGACAATGGCTCATATGGTTTAGGGATTAGGATTCAACATGTGAGGGTTAGGTTTTAGAGTTTCGGGTGGGGATCTAGGTTTAGGGTTGTTAGGGTTTAGGGGTAGGGGTCTAGGGTTTAGGTTTGGGGTTGAAGGTTCAGTGTTTAGGGGTTGAGGGGTGTAGGATTCAGGGCTTAGTGTTTAGGATTCAGCATGTAGGAGCTTCAGACTAACGAAAGGACATGAGGGAAACCGTTTAAAGGCAGGCTCTTGTGGGGATATAGAAGGATATGTGGGGATAGGTAGGGTTACACAGGGAAACATACGTGTAATTGCAACCAACTCGGGGGGGATGCTATCTCAGTGTGTCTATGTGTGATACTATTCAGAGTTTCAGAAGCAGGCAGCCAGAATAAACCACCAAAGCATTAAATTATCTGAGCAAGAAAGAGAGATTCAACACAACACAAGAAGCAACAGCAAAAATCAACAGAAATATTGAGCAAACGCAGCCCACAAAAAAGAGCCAAGGTACCCGAATAAGTCTGGTGACGCCTTCTAAGAACCCTTGACCCCTCCTTCAAGACAAGTAAACTAGACACCCGAGCAGCTAGAACAGTTCTCATCCCTTGGTGTGACACCAGGGCAAGACATTGATCAGACCTGCCGCCTCAAACCACAATCCCTGAAACCTCATTCCCACACCCTGACAATCGAAAGAGGGTATAGAGGCACAAGCCTCCCAACGGCCTTCGCCGCAAAAGTTACTGTTTAGGTGTTGCTCGTTTGGAAGGTGTGGATATCTGGACATCCCGTAATTAAACCACCCATCGGCGTGTCTTTCCTCATTTGTTTTATCCAGGGCTAGGTTTGTGGGGGAAGGGTTGGGTGGAGGTCCAGGGGTCGGTGCCGGTGTGGTAAAAGAGGAGTTTAGGGGCTCCGAGGCTTTTTTTTTTTTTTTTTTTT